TCTGGAGGGATGGGCATTACAAAGATAAGAATCTGGGACAGAGAGGTTTACAGGGAGTTGGTCAAAGGGCTGCTGAAAAGGAGCAAAGAGGTACAGTTTTTTAATTACCCCTGCAGCCTTCATGTAAATATTGAGACAGGGTGATTCTTCCACATTTGTTATCTCTAACATGAGGAACAGCACTGCCTCCTGGCATGGAGCAAGGGGCTCCTTTGACCATCATCTGCTTTATAGGAGAGCAGAAGCTCCCACACTTCCACCCACATCAGGAAAACTTTTCATTGGTGTTTTTTGTTTAGTTTTACTTTGGGTATAGCCCTGACCTCCCAAGCTTTGCAGGAGGACACCTCCCCTCCTCTCTCCCTGCTCTTTATCCCAGCAGCAGCTCCTGGTTGTAGGTGCAGGCATATAAGGAGTGAGGCAGAGCCTGGGCATGAATCACTGCCTGAACATCCTGTCTCCTGAGGAAACTGGGATGGAAAGCACTGGCAGAAGTTTAGCTGACCTGCTGGGAACAGTTCACTCTGTTTAACAGGAAAAAATAACCTCAGACTTCAGTAAGGCATGGATTTGATTTGTAGTAAGGAATTTAAGGACACCTCTTCCAGGGGATCTAGGATAGTAAAGAGGTGAGGGAGAAGGTAAGAGATAACTAAATAGGTTAGAAATTATTTTTTAAAATCCCTGTTCAGCATAAAATAGCTAAAGCTGAGTATGCTTTGCTAGCTGGACAGTATTGCTTAACAAGACACATGTGTACATTACTGCCATTAAGCAATCAATAAACCTGGGTGCAGGGCTACACACAGTTTCTGGTTCCTCCCCTTGCTTTGCTCTGACTCAGCACTGAGTCTGTACATTTGGGCAGGTATTACACAGGCAGCAGAGAACTTCTTGTGACAAGGAGTGGTGTAACCAAATGAAAAAGAAACAACACCGTCCTCATAAGCAAATCAGGCATGTTTTTCTTTATTTGACTTAAAAGTTTGGTTTTTTTTTTTCCCCTCTTTAACTAGAACCTCAGACTGCTGCTTCTCTGCAGCCCAACTCTCCACACCCTGCACTGCCTTCAAGGACCCGTCTAGCAGACGATTCCTCTTTCAGCGTGTTCACACCTGCACAATTACTATAAGTGGAAGAAATTTCCTCTATTCTACAGCAAACAATGTAAAGGACTGCATTTCTCTTTCTGCTCAAGCCCAGAACACAGTTGCTTTCAGAGCAGGTTATGAAGGTCCCCACACATCAGTTCAGAAAAAGGCTGTGTCATACAAAGGTGACTGTGTGCTGTCGTTCCCCACAAACAGTTATTGGAGCTTTGACAGTCCAGTTCTAGAGATTACATTTTCTTCCTCAAACAGATTCTAAGCCATTCTAAGCATGTTTTCCACATGTCTTAGTGTCTTAATTGAAGATATTAAGAAAACTCCCCTCTTGATGTGGTACCAAACACAGGTTCCCAGTGAGACCCTCATCCTTCTCTGAAACATCCAAGCAAGGGGAGCTCAGCCTCCCCAACAATTTCACCGAACTAATTACTGTCTGAAATTAGGCACTTGCTTAAATGCTTTGTCAGGCCCAGGCTCCTGGATTAACTGCAGACTCAGTCTCTCCCAGCACATCACTCGACAGCGAGCTCCTTCCCACTCCGTCCCCACCCATCCGAGTCTTCGGGGAATGTTGCCATGGATTTCCACGGGACACAGGAGTCCATATTGGAAGAACCCTGTTAAGGTTGCTAGGCGTAAATATTGACTTAACGGCTCTTCCGCCTTTTTTCTTTTTTAAGAACAGATTTGTTGGCCATGGCTGGAAAAATAGAATTATGGAGTATGCATGATTCACTCTGGCACTCACACAAACATGCAGATCAGTTGGCTGGCAGCTCGGCTCCTCTGTTCGCAGAACATCGCTCCTAAAATGTGTCATTTTGTTTTGGCAGCAAGAGCATCCAAGCCCACAGACAGAGAGATAAAATCTCCTACCTTCCATGTACTTCACATTGGAGTCACTGACCTTATGCTGCTCAGAATATTGGATTAATACTCCCAACAGCTTTTTAGTCCAGACACACAGAAGGACTGACAGAAGTTTTGGTTTCACACTAAGCCCGGCCCAGAATCCTCCCCTCTCACACCCACTCTCCTGGGTCTGCCACCACAAGAGAGGACAGGAAAGCAACTGCAGGTAAAACTGTTTATTTGAAAGTCTTTTCAATAAAGGCTGTTTCACAGCCAATAAATATTGAGACAGACAATAACTCCTGTCACAGAAGGAAAGTAGCAGAGGTGAGAGGGGACCCAAAGCTTTTGGTCACTGGATTAATGTTTTCATCACCAGTACTCCGTGCTCCAACTTTTAATCCTGACTGCAAAAAATGCTCCTCAAAACATTAATTCAACACACAGCATCATTCAAACTCTCTCCCATATTGATTCTGCCAGATCTGAATGATTTGGCAGGGCTGGCAGGGGGATGAACCTTCACCAGAGATGCCTGAGGGTACAAAGTATATGGGAATTTTGGACATTGATCCTGGACATGCCAGCACAATCTCTGACTGTTCCTAAAACGTGCTCACCACACACAGGGGCATGAGCAGCTCACCTGAGAGCTGGCAGACACTGCAGGGATTATATTCAGGATCCTACCAGACCTCAATTTGATATACAACTGGGGGAACTCAAGAGGAGTTGCTGCATTTCATAACACTTGGCAGAGGTCTGCCAGAAAGCACAGAGCTTGTCAGGAGGAAAACAAAACTCTAATGATTGAAGATAGGAGGAGAAAGACTAGTGTAAGACAAGAGATCCTTCTCTGAAGGATAAAGGAGTTTGCCTGTATTTTAGCCAGGCAGGGTGTCTTTGGGACTTTTATCCCATCAGAGTTTAAGCACCCTCAAAAGACATAATGCAAAACCAGACAGGGAGACTAGGATTAACACAAGTGCATGTTTCTATTTGCTTTGCATCCATTTTCTGTGTCTCCACACCTTCCCCTTGGGGAACAGGGACCAACTGCTCCTTCCAGGCATCCTCTGTGCACATCCTCCAGATGAGGCTGTTCAGTGCATGGTACATTTAAGCACATGTGGCACCTCGCAGCTCTGTAAGGAAGCCCAAGGCTCTGGGGTCCCACCCATTCATTAGACAACACAAGAACTAGCCATTCCCACTCAGTGTTAAGCTACAAGAAACAAAAACAAGGGCACTTAGATGGAGCTTAGCAACAGCTGCTCAGGATCCATTCAACCACTCTCAAATCTATTTTTACTGACAGCTTTTGAAGCAGAGAATTCATTGAACAGAGAAACAGGTTGATATCCCTTCTCCTCAACTGTAGGCAGAATTCAGTTTGTTATTCTCTAATTGTTTCCTTGGTGGCACATACAAATTCAATAGTGCATCTGCAAGCAAGGATGTCTATTTTCAGAATAAAGACAATGACAGGCAAAGTTTGTATTAGCAACGGCTAAGTAGAAGACACCAGGAGATAAAAAAGGGGAATTCTCATTTAAGGTCCTAATGTGCATAGGACAAAAGATTGGGTAGATCTAATTGCATGAATTAAGGAATTTTCTGCCCACTCACTCTCCTGCCCATGCAGCTGGAATAGCACAGCCCAGGTGCTGCCTCCTCGTTTCTCAAGAAATTGTTTGCAGGGAACAGAAATGTTTCACAATGCAGAAACAAGAAATAACAAATTATTTCTCTGCTCTACCAGCTCAGGATCAAGGCTGATGCAAGTCAGTTCTTACTGCACATGGATATTGCCAGTATTACAACCCACACAAGTACCAGGGGACGAACCCATCAACACAAAGACTTTCAAGCTGTGGTTATTGGCCATTATTGCCTGGTTACAGAGATGGCAATGGTTGAGTTTTATGACAGGTTCTCAATAACACTACACAGCAAGACAACATGCTACATTTGTCACTGGGTTTACATTGTACTGACCCAAGGCAGGCTCAGCAATAGGAAGGCACTGCTACTAATAGTTGTAGCTGTTTGGAGCTCCATTTATGTCTCTCCACTGAAAAAGATCCTCTCTGCCTACTGAGATGTCTGGATTTGCCTTTGAACCAGCTCCTTTGATTTAGGCTGCCTGAGCTCTCCATCCAGTTAGTTTTTGGGATCAGTTTGGTCATGTGGTGCCCTGATGGTGATCAGCCATCAGCTCTGGCATGACCAAGCACTGGGGCAAGTCCCAGTTTGGACAGAAGTGCAGCAGGAGTAAGAGTGTCCCAAGAGTCCAATGCAGAGTAGTTCTGTATAGCTGTGCTACTTTTAACTCAGTGAGAAGGTACTTTCAGAAGTTTAAAACACACTTTATGAACCAATCCTAAATCATGAACAAGTCTTTCTATTTCCCAGGATGACAGTCAAGGGTGATAAATTCAGATCCAAATGTCTCAAGTCAGGTGAGATGAATCCCACCTTCAGGGAATAAGATGAGGAAGAGGTAAGGATCAAGCCTCTAATAACTACAATGAATTCATAGCAATTGTGAAATTCCTTTTTCTTATCCATGTATTCCAGCCAAAGTAAGGAAAAAACACATTCCCCTTCCAGAAGTACAGAGGAACCACTCATCTGCATGGCACAGGTAACACTGTCTCTTATGACAATCCATAGCATGTCATCATTTTAGAGCAATTAATAAACAGACTGTTTTAAACATTTAAAAATTATAACCCTGCTTCTCCTGTCCTCAAAGCCTGTGACACAACTGCTGACATTCTTAGTGGATATTTTATGGCATCGTAGACTTACATTAGCCTAAATCCTCTTTTTTCCTGTTTTGCAGCTATCTGGTGGAATTAATATGAAAGAAAAGAAGAGCATTTCTCAAAACATTTTCAACACCATTTAAATTTGCATGATCTTGTCTGTCTGTGATGGGCTGAACAACTTTTCAGTCACATTTGTCAATCATTGTTCCTCAAATGCAAGAGTTTAACTGAAGCAAAGATGCAGAAATGAAGGTCTGGTACTCACTTTCTCAGCACTGCAATTTCATTCTCTATGCTGCTTTCCTTTCCCTTCAGTGCCTTCTTGGGAATGCATTTGACTGCGAAGAGTTTTCCACTTGCTCTCTCTTCAGCCAAAACAACTTCAGAGAATGCACCCCTGAAAGAAGGGAAGAAAAACCCTGGTTTAAAGTGGTGCTTTTTCTTTGAAACCTGTTAACTGAAACACAACCACTGAATATAGTTCTTCTGGTGTCCTTTGGATGCTGCTCTTGTTAAACACAGAAATGACATTACAAACATCTTTCTTTGCCTTTAAAAACATATGGAAACATTCACACTCATGTAAAACATTAAAGGCTTACCAAACACAACAATTTTAATAAAGAACCATAGTCCAGCAGTGATATGAGCAAAGCTTGAAAATGAGAAAGTACCATTTCTGCACGGACCATAGTCCGGCTGCTGACTTGGCGGATGATGTACTTTTCGCCTTTCTGAGATTTTTGGAGGTTTAATTCACAAAGAAGCACAAAGTCCCTAGGACTAAGTGACACACCACTGCCAGGAGTGCTCCTGGTTCCTCAGTCACCACAAGAGGTCAGGGCCCCCACTCTGGTCCTCCCTGGGCTGCCCAGAGCTTCTCACCACTGGATCAACCCAGATTCTGACTGCATCAGAATTTCTCTATGTATACAGAGTTATTCCTCAACACAAACTGATGTGTGTAACCACTAAAGCCAAAGAATTAGATGAAATCACAAGTCTGAACATTGGCCTAAGTAGCAGCCTCCCTACAGTTACCCCAGAGAGTGTTACACAAATAAAGAAATATCATCACAGCAGCCAGACACTAATTGCCAAGAATGGGCAGTGCCTCTCGCCCATTAGGTTATTTCATAACAGTGCATTATTTCTTGCACTGTCAGTGCTTCCTTCCAAACCTCTGGACCTGAGAAGAGGCCGTTACAGTCAGTGCTATACACACATTTTTTTGGTTCCCAGATTTTTTTAGCATTTGAGCATCATTCCAACTCTGCTATTCTGGACAGATTTTGCAGTGGTTCATTAGGAACATCCTTATATTCTGGAACTTGTTACTGGTTTAGCAGCAAGGTACTGGACAAGAGAGAGCATTGACATGATGAGGAATAGCAAATCATTGTTCCTATTCACCAAAACCTCCTCCTGAAGCACCCACTTTGTCCAAGAGAGATCAGATCCAAGGATTTGTCTAACCCAGTGACAACTGAAGGATCATGCTGAGCAACCTGGTCTAGTAGAAGGTATCCCCTGCCCATGGCAGGGGGTTGGAACTAGATGATCCTTAAAGTTCCTACCAACCCAAACTATTCTTCAATTCTATGATCCACCAGCTGAAGGTTTGTGTTTTATTTATAAGAAACAAAAATAGTCTTTTCTTTATTATTTCCCCTCATCAGCAGATTATTCTGCTCTCCTACATAGCTCTGATAAATGCTCAGGAGGGTGCTGAGCAACCAACCATGCTCCAGCCTGCTCTTAAAATGTTAATGTTTGGTCACAGCCTCATCTGGCTACCACCAACTTTCTCTGGCTTTCATTTCCCACAACTGCTGCTTATCTAGATGTTTTGTGGATAAACAAAAGAATTTCCTTTCCTGGACAGCCTCCTCCTTTTTAAGTCATGCACTTGGATGACACAACCAGGCTGCTGTGACCTCACCAACAGCTCCCGAGCTGCAAAACAGCCACATGAATCAAGTGGATAAGCCAAAGGAAGAGGCTGCTGCTCTGGAAACAAAGTAGCTGTTTAGCAGAGATGCTTTTGTAGCCAGCAGATAAGGAAACAGTGATAGGAAGCTGATGAAAAAATACTTTTGCATGCTGCTATGCAGCAGATGTTTGACAGCTTGTCCACATGGGGCAGTGATCCTTTGAACCAAGAAATGTTTTGCCTCATTTTTACTAAAAAAGACAGACTATGGCTACATTTATGCCACTTGGAGTAGCAGAATGATTCCCTCTTTTCTGCTTTGTGTATAATCCACCACAGCATGTCAGAACATCACAGACTCCAATTTAGGGTCCACACAACTGATCCAAAATGGTTTGCACAAATAAGCCACCCAGAGTGTTTTTAATTGTGTTCTCTGCTTTCCTGTTGTAGACAGCCCTAGCCATTCAATTTACCAAATAAGGTTTTCATCCTCACCCTCATCCTTGGGACAGCCAGACCAGAACTGCAGTAAAACCCTTTTGCTGGAAAGCTCTAAGACCTCTCAGTGCTTACCAGCTTTGGTTGCAGACCAGAGCACTCAGAAACTCACAGGGCTGCTTCCAGCTGTATTTTATGAAGCCCTTAAGTCCCATCTGCTTAAGCTTTCAGCACAGCACTTCGCTCCAGCTGTGCCTTGAACAGGCTCCTTGCCTTCAGTTTAATGGTGTTATAAGCTGCAATATTCACACCAGTCGTTTACTGATCACACAGCTCTCCCAGTCTTTATGATATTATAAAAATACAAGGAGCTCCCATCCCAATCTGCATTTCATTGCTGATCTCAGACAACAAAATAGTGGAAATACTTTTATTTCCCTTCTATACAATATAGTTAACTTTATGAAGAACCTCTTTTTCAGCAGGCTTTTCCAGCATTCATCATTTTGCTGGATTTCTTCCTCCACTCATCAGGACAGATATGGTTTCCCTAGTCAGAAAGAGCCTCTGTGAATTTAACGAAATTTTTTTTGTGCAGCTCTGCAATACTCATGGAACCCAATTCCCTATCTCCTTAACAACCTTTCTCATTATAGCATGAAATAACCTAAAGCTCAGCTCAAGTGTTTGGTCCCATGTCAACCCCAGGCACAGACGGGGTGCTTTTTTACATTGATTTTTATATGAGGCCATGGCATGAAATTGCTAATGCTGGGAAGAGTTCCTGAGCAATAGGAGGGGGAGGGCTGGGATGGATCTTCTGGGAAGGCAGGAGGGAGATGTGAGGAGGCAGAAGTGAGACACTATCCTGTGCACTATATACGCTCCTGTGGTCACAGAGCAAAGCAACAAGTCAAGGCACAAAAGAAAGAGAAGGGAAGTGCTGGAAGGAAAGAGAAGGAAAGGAACAGATGCAGAGAGGGATCATGAGTCTTAGACAGAGACTCAGCAATATAGGGCAAGAAGAAAGAAAGGGTGTGAGGAAGCACCAGCAAGGGAGAGGCAGCAAAGATACTCCTGGAGTCTGCTGGAGTCAGGAAAGAGTCAAAAATAATACTGAATAGATGGGAAAGCAATTATCGTAATTTCAAACATGCAGCTGAATTCGTCCACCCTTAACGACACAGTCCAGCCTCCACTAAACCCCTCTTGACTCAGGCATGAATAGGTAAATGTCAGAGAGAAAGTTAGAAAGACTAGGCTGCTCATTCTCTTGCTAACAGCAATATATCCTGCAGCAAGTCCCCATCTCCTTAAAAAAGTTCCCCAGAACTACCAGCTCAGCAGGCTTGCTAGAGTTTTTTTTCTCCCCAAAATGAATTAATACTGCCTTTAAAATCATTGTATTAATGAACGAAGCAATTTATCTCTAAGAATTAATTACAATTCTTTATTGAGGTTTAAAATGTAATTGTGCACAAAGATTTAGAAAGAAGTTTGGGGTAGGAAAATACTTCATTTTACACCATCAACATGACAGGACTTTTATGAAAAGACCACGGCTTCCAATAAACATTACCAAGTAGTGTTGTATGATAAAAAGGGAAAAAAACCCAAATATCACACTGTGATACAGATTTTTTTTAAAAATCTGGAAAAGAGGTTAAATTCTTAAAAATGATGATTATAAATGTATCTGCAATGGCTGGGATGCACCATTCCCTTCAGCTGGGAAAGCATTAATTGCAAACTTTCCAACATGCCCAGGGACAAAGTCTTTGCCTCTCTGAAGAGGAACTTCAAAATCCTTCAGGAATTTTCCCTGTCCCACCTGCAGACAATAGCAAACAAGTGAAAAAGTGTCATGGCTTTGAGGAAGTAGGACAGTGGTGGAAATGGGTAAGCAAGAAACATCTGCAAAATGAAACCACTTTTAGCTGCCAAAATCCATGTGCGGCAAGAGCCTATTTTTGAAAGTTTTGACCATGTTATCATTTACCCTGGAGGAACAGCTCCTTTCAAACTTCTAATTAAGGCATAGAATAATTTTATGATTTAGATAATTTCCATATGAATTAGGAACAATGTAAGAAAAGAAAAAAAAAGAGGTTGAAGGACTTGATGAGTGACATTGAGATAATGGCAAATTCTAGAGAGTGTTTGAGATGTTTTGGCTCCTCACCCCTTTGCAAACACATGGACTATGCAGTATCCAATGAGATGCCAATCTTTTAGAGTTTTTATTAATTTAAATTATTTCTCATGCATTATTTTTCTTTCATATAGATTTAAAGATTAGACTTTCAAGATTAACATTGGAATATGAACATTATTCATACCCAAACAGACTGGATTTTCTATGAGAAAGTAGTGGCTGCAAGGCTAGGCTATCCTGCAGATCAAAGCAAAATAAAGAACAAGCAAGTTTTTCCTTCTTCTGTTGGAACTGTAATTTAATATGAACACTTAATTTCTGAAATACAATGAACAGCATATACTGCGACAGCAAATCTGTTCTCATTCAACAAAAAAATTGCTGTGACAAAAATACTGACAAAATGAAGACAAAGCTGATGGAGGGATAAAACTTCATTTTTTCCATTCAATCTCCATGTTGAGCAGTTTTCCACTGCATTTGCAGGTGCTCTGTCAAACTAAGTCAACAGACATAGCCAGGAAACAGATATCATGTCTTCAGGCTGCATATAGCTAATGTTCTTAATTATGATACAATTGGCTTCCCATGTGTACTTTGCCCTGGCCAAACCAGGGGGGGAAAAAAAGTGAACACTCAACATCTGAAAAATATACCATGTCCATCCACCCTGAGACAGGAGTCTGAATCAAAGGAGGACCAACCAAACTAAAGCTCATTTCTGTAGTGTGGCTTTGGCAACCACACTCAAATTCTGCTTCTTGACTCTCCAAAGATGACCTTGAACTGCACCACAAACAGAGGAAAAATGTCTTCATTAGCATTTTCATAGCTTCTTCCGTGGGCCTCAAGGAGTTAACTGTGGGAT